CACACACACACACACACACACACGCAGGGATGTGGGCAGCTCGCGCTCAACCACAATCAATGTGGCGAGCCTTGCACATGAGAGGCACAGGAAAAGGGGAGCTGCAAGAACAAATGAAAGGGGGTACCCCAAAGAAAGAAAAAGGGAACACAATTAAGAAAGGTATTTAAATGCTTCTATTATGCCCGATCTTGCATGCTATAGAGGTGAAACTGTTTCATTGTTGGATTGTCTAAACTCAAGGCTCTTCCTTGTCTGCAATAGGATTAAAGCTGCTTCGTTTTTGCATCTACTCATCTGGGTGGAATAGGGGCTGTTGTGGTGAAAATTCAAAACACACATACACACACACGCACAGATTCACACCTCCTGATGAGTAGGTGAAAGTCCGATGAAACAGTCATGCTTGTTTTGAGTGTATAGCGGATATGATAACACACACATACACACATTTTCTCTCTTCCTCTTCCATGCTTGGCACTTGTGTGGATACACCTGCCGAAGGCTTCTATGGGTGTGAGGGCAGGGGGGGAACGCTTTTTTCGAATACAGCCCTGTAGGCGCCTATTATAATTATATGGAAAATTGCCAGATATGAAACAGTGAAAAGAGATTGAGAAGACGTTCAAGGAAGCAAGGCTGACTCAGGCTGAGACAGGGACGAACCGCGCAAACCGAAGGCAGGAGTTTGAAATTGGCACCCGTTCAATCAGGCTAGTATGTAGTCAGGTTTTCAGCGGCCTGTGGATTTGCATCGTTGACAAAGGAGTTTGTCTGTACTTGCTTTTCAGCTTTTTCTATTCCATGGCATCAAAGACTTGTCGCCGAAGTTGGCGGTGGTGGTTTTTTTTTTTTTTTTTTTTTTTCCCCCCTCTGTTTTCTGTAAAGTCTGTGGTGTTTTGATGGCGATGTTGTTACCTTTTCATTCAGTTCTGGTCAGCTTTGTGGATGAACCAAAGAGGCTACCGTCGTCACCCGAATAGAACGCCCGGTCATTGTAGCTGTGTCTGGCACAACTTTCAGCCCAGATACGGCGATAATCACCGGGCGTTCTATTCGGGTGAAGACGGTAGTCTGCAGCAGAAGGCGTAGTTGTCGTGGTGCAGGAGTGTGTTCACAACAAACACTTGGGGGGGGGGAGGGGGCGATGCCGGCCAATCCCTGTTTTGGGTTACCTTTCGCAGCTGACTGATACCTGGTCCTCCTTTTTTTTTTCATTTTCACTGTCGTGCGTGCGGTGTGGTGCAGCTTTGCTCGAACATGGTGGAGTTTGGCGACCCTGGGCGATTTTCCAGTGCAGCTCTGAATGAGAGTGACCTGATCGGTCTTGCGGAGTTTAAGTCTGGGGCTGTTATTAGAGACTTTGCAAAATGAGGAAACAGTTGCCACATACGAAAAAAAAACAGTTGCATTTATTTTTCTCTCCCAAGCAAGCATTCTTTGTCCTCTGCCGGTGAAGGTTAGTCAAAAAGGCAACTCTCTTTTGCGTGCGCTATTCTCTCCTTTGCGTGCTATATTGGTCTCAAAGCAGGCATCTGCTAAGCTGGTTTTTTTTTTTTTTTTTTTTTTTTTTTTTTTTTTTTTTTTTTTTTTTTTTT